GGATATAACTGGATTTAACTTCACCTGACCAAACTTCGCTGGATCTACACCAATCCGCTTTTGGTGTGATTTGGAGATAATTAAGATCTATTTCCTACGAAGATAAAACCCTTCTCGAAGGCATTGGCGTAACTACAGGGGGGCCTAGGGGGGCCGGGCCCCCCCAGACATTGCTGCCCCCCCCAGGAAAAGGCTGACTTTTATCTGTTATAATTTTTTATTATTACCAAATTTGCAATATAAATATGTATGTATGTATCATTTTCATATCTTAGGTTGTATTTTATCAACTTTCAAAATACGAGGATGTACATATTTTTTAAAACCGCCCCTGTAAGCTCGCAACTAGCAGTTGTATCTTTTTATAACAACAAACGGTCATGCGCGGTAAAAACGGTCATCAATTATATTTGGACGCGTCCTTAAGATCACATTGTAGTACTTATTTCCTTTCTCACTGGATGGCACCACGATTTTACAGATAATAAAGAATTTCTTTAATACCTACCCTACGATGTTGGTAGACCTGCTTATGCCATATCATAAATTATGATAATTATGAATTATAATAATTATGCATTATAATTTATAAATTATAATGCATAATTATTATAATTCATAATTATCTTAATTCATAATAAGCTCTACAAAAATTTTTTTTTTTGTTGCCCTGCATATCATCGCAAATTTTTATGTTTTCAAGTGCCCAGATTACGAATATATTCATAAAAGTTCTCAATGTGCTCGTATTTTCATGATTTTTCAATATCTTATATTTTGAAAAATTATCGGCTAGTTAGAAATAAAATTTAACTTTCCAGTCATGATTAGGCTTCTGCGCAACTTTTTCGCGCATACAAACATCACGTGATTCCCACTCTCAGACCCCTTGCTCCACAGAACAGCTGAGATCTCAATTATTTAATAATATTCTATAATGGACCAATTAGGTAAACCATGGGTTCCTAATAAAGTTTGTAAGTCCTGTATTGAGTCTTTACGGTTGTGGAAAAAAGGAGAACGTTCTGGATTAGACTTTGGTATTCCTATGATCTGGATGGAGCCTAGGAATCATTTAGATGATTGTTACTTTTGTGTAGTAGATGTTAAAGTTTTTAATCGAAATCAAACGTGGAGATACCCAGACTTACAGTCTACGAAATGTCCGGTTCCACACAGTAAAAATCTTCCTCGGCCTATATACGTTTCAAAAGTCATTCGCATGCCCTCAGAAACAATGATGTTGCCAAATTCACAGAAATCGGGACCGTCTACCAGTGGAAGTGAATGGGAGGGTGAAACATCTACGCCAAAGTTATTTTCTCAAAGTGAACTCAGTGATTAATTACGTGATCTCAATTTATCAAAACAAGGATCAGAACTGTTAGCCTCAAGATTGAAAGAAAAAAAATTATTGTCACCAACAGTAACAATTACAATATAAAGAACGCGAGAAAAAGAGTTATTACAATTTTTTAGTGAAAATGAAGGATTGGTGTATTGTAATGATATCGCGAAGCTGCTTCTATACATGGGTTTAAAAGAATACAAATCTACTGAATGGCGCCTTTTTATTGACAGTTGTAAAAGAAGTTTAAAATGCGTTTTGTTGCACAATGGAAATAAATTTGCATCAATTCCAATTGCCCATTCAACGAAACTCAAAGAAGAATATGAAAATGTAAAATTAGTTTTAGAAAAAATTAAATACTCGGAGCATCAATGGCCGATCTGTGTGGATTTAAAAATGGTTAATTTTTTACTTGGCCAACAAAGTAGATATACAAAATACCCTTGCTTTATTTGTATGTGGGACAGTAGAGCAAGGCAACTTCATTGGGAACAAGATGTTTGGCCTGTAAGAAATTCTTTAACTGTCGGTAAAGCCAATGTAATAAGGGAGCCGCTGGTGAGCCGAGACAACATCATACTTTCACCATTACATATTAAGTTAGGTATGATAAAGCAATTTGTAAAAGCGTTGGACAAGGACGGAAATTGTTTTAATTACATTTGCAGAAAATTTCCGAAGCTTAGTATGAAAAAATTGAAATGTGGAATATTTGATGGTCCTCAAATACGGCAACTGATAAAAGACTCAGATTTTATCAAAGTTATGACTGTTCCGGAAAGTAAAGCTTGGAAAATTTTGTGTTGGTTGTCGAAAATTTCCTAGGTAACCATTAAGCAGCAAATTATGAAGAAATTGTGCAAAATATGCTTACAAACTTTCAGACTTTAGGAGCAAATATGAGTATTAAGTTACACTATCTCCGCAATCATCTAGATAAATTTCCGGATAATTTAGGAAATTATAGTGAGGAACAGGGTGAGCGGTTCCACCAAGACCTAAAGTTAAGGAGGAAAGGTATCAGGGTCGATGGGATTGTCACATGATGGCAGATAACTGCTGGTCTTTGAAAAGAGATTGTCCCTTGAAAAATTATAAAAGAAAAGCTCATAAAAGGCGTTTTATGGAAATATAAAAAATATTTTCGACATTTTCCTCTTATTTACTTTGATGTATCCTAATTTCTCAAAACATAACTGAAATTATAAATATATCTGTTATTTTGTTTCTTGTTTTCCGATTTTTGTAATGTAAAATGAAAATAAAGATTTAAAAAAAAATCAGAGCAAATCTTACAAAATCATTGATAGTTTCATGAATTGTGTGCATAAATAGACCCAAAATCATTTTCATATCTAGGGCAACAAAACCACTGTAGACCAGTGTTATGATTCATAATTATCATCACATATTTAATAATACATTTTTTTATTTTATCTATATATTTATATTTCTTAAAGAGTGTTTGTTTTTGTGAAAAATTTTACAAAATTAAATCTTTTAAAAATGATGCTTGTTTTGCGACTTCATATGTGAAATCGCGAAAGTACGGTCCTGTTTTAAAAAGTACGGTCATTTTTTAGCCCCTGCACATAGGGGTATTTACTTTAAAAAGCTGGTCAAAAGTCAATTTTGTAGAAAAAGTCGCATAATACAATTTTTATTTACATTGGATAGCTAAATGAATGGAAAACAATGTTTTAGAGTTTTTTGCACTCCTCCACTCCCAGGAAGCCGCCTGCGGAATTCGGGTTCCTCGAAGTAATATTTATTAAATTTAAGAATTCTTTGAAATAACAATTTTTTGGACTGGTTTAATAATGCTTTTACTAATCAGTCTAAAGTGGTGCAATATGGATGATACTACGGCAGGTAAGCTTACTAGTACAACGTATTTTATTACTTTTACCTATGGTAAACTAAGTTTTATTATAAAAAAACGCTTTTAATAAATATGAAATAATATAGTTTTTTTACATTAAAATATAAAATATTTGGAGTTTTTAAAATACTTCCGGGTGCGTCCCGGTTTTAATTTTATTATTATTTCGCAAAGAAAGAATTAGAGATTAAATTTTTACTTATACCTACATGGTTTAATTTATTAATTTTTTGGATTCCACTTACTTTTTTAGGTAAATTTAGTTAATTTATGTAATAAGAAAAAATATAATACCTTCTGAGTAAACTATGAACTAATCTACAAGTTTGTATGTATAAGTTTATTTTACAAAATATTATACAGGGTGTGTTTTTTAATGCCTACAAAATGGCGAGTTCAAAAAATAAAAAGTCTGTATTTTTACAAAAATTACATACATACCTAAATTACAAAATTATGTAAATTTAAAATGTTTTTAGAATACCAAAAACGTAATAATTAAATTATTGAAGGGGTAAGAAGCAAAAGTGTAAAAGTGCATTTTAGCTCAAAATAAGTTAAGTGCACATTTTTTTTTAATTTTTTCATAACGTAAAAATTGTACGAGTTCTGCATGTTGATTAATACAAACGTTGAAACAAGTAGGTATCCAGATTTTTGTATATAGCAAAAACTTTAGTTAATAACTCCACTTTTCTTTTTTGCACTTGTACCCTTTTGCTTCCTACCCCTTCAATTATTCTAGATTAATATTGAATGTGGAATAATAAAAATTAAGATTGGTTTTAACATTGGAAATGTTTATGTTCGTATATTTCTGATTTTTCGTTTTATGAAAAAAGACATCTTTCAGCGTTGCTGCTTTTTAATGAAGTGGCAAATGTAAAAAAATATACTTATATAAACATAGGTACAGGGCGTTTGCATTTGTTTTTGTATTACACATATATACAGGGTGTTTGTATAACACTAATATATAGGGTGTTTCAGTGTATTTTAGTAAGTTTAGCGTGTTCCAGCGGATTTCACGTGTTTCAGAGTATTTTAGTGTTTTGGAGTGTTTCGGACTGTTTTAGTGCTTTTCGGTGTGTTTCGGTATGTTTTAGAGTGTTTCGGTGTGTTTCGGGGTGACGCAATACTTATAAATGAAAGTGGAGAAGATTGAAATGTGTACCTATTGTTTATTTTGATTTGTAAATGTTTTTTTAAGTTTTTATAACTGTAAGTCGGAACTGGTTGTAGCGATAACGTCATTTATTAAGGATAGTAATTATTTATAATAATAACCGCAATATTACTTGTTATTAAAGTTATTAAAGAGTTTCATGATATATTTATAATTACTAACCGCAAAAAAGACGTCATTGCTACAACTATTCTGAGTCGGAAGTTCTGACCTATTTTTATAACCTTTTTTGACACAATAAACAATTTGACACAGTAGTTGAGCGTTTGGTTGTATTGAAATTTGTATTCTTTATTTTAATGTTATTATACTAGAAATAATTTTTTAAATGTTTTTTTATTTATAACCTTTTGTGATACAATAAACAGTTTATTATGTTTCCAAATATGAATACCAGTATATAATATAGTATATTATATGGTGTTACCATTTCCAATGTACGTCTCCGATAGTTGCAAACATTGCGAAATCTGTGAATTTTTTATCTCTCTGTAACTCTTTCAAAAAAAAATCTGATTGAGTATTTTTTGTTATAGTTATAATTAATTTAAAAAAAAATAATTTATTGTTACTGTACAAAAATGAAACGTGGAATAAGAGACATTCGGAGCTTTTTTAAGTCGAAACAAAATGACCAAAAAGATATTGATTTATCTGAGACAAACAATGTACCAGCTACAACTTCAGAATCGCCTACTTCAACAACTCTTATGTGTGACAAAACTGAAAAATTCGTACAAGACAAAAATCTTTTGGTGGAAATGGATTTGCAATCGACGTCTTCAACAAGAACCATGGAAGTCAACATTCCCAATACTTTGGGCAGCCTGGATAATGGACCACATCAACCAAGACTAGAAAAATTTCCTCAGACAAAATTTGATAAATTAACATCTTTTTCGGTTACATTCTACAGTAAATATTTTTGGTTAGAATACAGTGAGGAACAGGATAAGGTTTTTTGTTTTGTCTGCAGAATATTTGGTAGCAGATGTAATATCCGTGAACAAAACGAAACGTTTTGTAAAACAGGTTTTTGTAAATGGAAAAAGCTTTCCGAATCGTTAAATAAACATGAAAAATCAGTTTACCATTCTGACTGTGCGAAAATGTACATAGAATACAAGAAAACGAAATCCGATTCACACCCGGGGAACGATGCTGAGCAATTAATATCATTTCATGAGTTGCAACTTTCGAAAAATCGTGAATACATGAAGAAGTTAATTGATATAATTTTAGTTTTGCTACGACAAGGGCTACCTTTAAGGGGTCATCGGGAGGATGTTTTCTCAAAAAATAGAGGAAACTTATTAGAAGTAGCAGAATTGTTTTCTGTTTATGATACAACATTTTTAAGTTATTTTAGTAAAAACATAAGTTATTGTAGTCCTAAGGTGCAGAACGAAATAATTGAAATTATAGCCCAGCTTTCTCTACAGAAAATTGTTTCGGAAATCAAAAGTTGTGGATTTTTTACTTTGATGGCTGATGAAACCAGATCTTTTAAAGAGGAGCAGCTATCGATCGTTGTTCGATTTTCGAAAGATTTGGAAGTAGAGAAAAGATTTCTCAGCTTTATTAACTGTTCCAATTCTAGAGACGCGCAAAGTTTAGCTAACATTATTTTTGACTTTCTGGAAAAATCAAGCTTAGGGGATATCCCTATAGTGGGCCAGTCATATGACGGGGCAAGCGTCATGTCTGGAAAACATAAAGGATTACAAGCTTTAATAAAAGAAAAACATCCATCAGTAATATATACTCACTGTTTAGCGCACAAACTAAATTTAGTTGTAGTTGACGCTTGTACAAAAGTCTCATTAGGTGCTTCCTTCTTTAACACTTTGGAAGCATTATACGTTCACTTTTCTCAGCCAGGAAATCACGAAAATCTTAAAAAGGTTGCAAATAACTTAGGTATTAATCTTTTGGAAATATCCAGTCTCTCAACGACTCGCTGGGCGTGTCGATTTAAAAATTGTAAAGCTGTTTTAAAAAATTATGAAGTAATTAAAACTACACTAGAAAGTGAAATAAGAGAAAACCAAGACAGGCATGCAGTTGAAGCTGTTGGATTGTTGGAATGCATTCAAAAGACAGACTTTTGTATTTGCTTACACATCTTAACCCATGTTTTATTGATTGTTAACGTTTTGAGTCAATACTTTCAAGGCAAGGATGCTACTATCGGCAAAGCAAGTTCAATAATAGAAGGTACCTTAAAAACTCTAGAAGATTCCAGAAATAACTTCGACAATATTTATGGCCAAATTCAAAACTTTGCCGAAAATCATGGTATTTCTCTCGAGCCGATTAGGGCATCAAAAAGAAAAAAGCAGATTCCTGCAAAAAATATGGATTATATAGTGGAAAGTACCCTGGGACATGAAGGAAACATAGAAATTCCATCAGGACCTAATTCGAATCATTCAGAACACTGGAAAATAAATATTTACTACCAAATTATGGATAACTTAATATCCAATTTTAGATGCAGATTTTCAAATTTACCATTGGCGCAAGCAGCAGATGCATTACCATGCCAAATTCAAAACTTTGCCGAAAATCATGGTATTTCTCTCGAGCCGATTAGGGCATCAAAAAGAAAAAAGCAGATTCCTGCAAAAAATATGGATTATATAGTGGAAAGTACCCTGGGACATGAAGGAAACATAGAAATTCCATCAGGACCTAATTCGAATCATTCAGAACACTGGAAAATAAATATTTACTACCAAATTATGGATAACTTAATATCCAATTTTAGATGCAGATTTTCAAATTTACCATTGGCGCAAGCAGCAGATGCATTATTTCAATTAAATTTTAATGAAAGCCAAGCTTTTATTAAACATTATTCCTCTATTGCGTGTGTTAATGTGAGTATTCTTGAAGCCGAGATATTGGTGGTAAAAAATATGCTTACTCTAAAAAATTTGGAAACTAATTAAGAATCAATAAAAACGCATATTAAAAAAGACTTTTGTCCAAACCTGTACAAATTAATCCAAATTGCTATTTCCTTGCCGATAAGTTCCGCTGGTTGTGAGCGCAGCTTCTCTGCCATGCGTCGAATTAAAAATTGGACCAGAACTACAATGACTCAAAGTCGATTCGCAAATGTTTCCATTATAAACATCGAAAAAGATTTAGTTAAAGAACATGTTACAGCTGATCGCGTTCTGGAATTATTTTCTCAACCAAATAGGAAATTAAAGTTAATTTAATGCTTATTTTATAAATTACATGCGGTACTTTTTTATCGTTTTTCTAATACCAACTTGGAGTTTTTATTTTATTTATTTACAGTTTTTATTTGTTTATTCTTAGGTATGTTAAAAATTACCTTGTTATTTCATTTAATATATTAGAACTGTTTGATGTTTAAGTTTTACTTTTTTTAAATTTCTAGTCACAAAAACAGGCCCACCCTAGGCCCCCCCCCGGGTCAGATGGCTAGTTACGCCAATGCTCGAAGGTAAGGTTAGTTTCTTCATCCAAGATGCAAATTCTTATGCTCATTTTTCTTTAAGGGTTTTAATTATGGTTTTTATCCAGGGTTTTAATTCTGGGCCGACGAGAGATTACCTCCGAAAACCCTTAGCACCTTTTAAACAAAAGAAAATGCACAGTTACCACATCAAAGAGAAACCTTTATATAAATTAAAAATTTTGCACAAGAAAACCGCGACAAAACCTTATTGCCTGTCCAAGATATCGAAGTAAATTCTTTGTTTCATGACGACGTAAACGATATATCCATTGATCCTTTGGAAAGCGTTTCTGAATTCTTTACTTGTTTACATCAGGAAACAAATATTTATCAGATATATTCGATTTACATAAAATCTAAAGAGTATGGAACGCCGTTGTATTTTTTAATCGCGAAATTTATATGTCTGTCATTTTAAATCAGGTCAATTAAAAAAATCTAATCTTTTGTCAAGTAGTCATTTTAATTCAATTCATTTTAAACGTCATCTAATACGTGTAATTCGACATGAATTAAAAATATCATAGCGACATTTTAATTGCATAGAATTAAAATTATGCTTTGCATTTTTTTGTCATTTAAACATTTTAATTCATTTTATTTCATTTCATTTTAACCGTCATCTAATACGTGTAATTCGACATGAATTAAAAATATCATAACGACATTTTAATTGCATAGAATTAAAAATATGCTTTGCATTTTTTTGTCATTTAAACATTTTAATTCATTTTATTTTAGAGGTTAATTTGATTTTTATAATTCTACCCCAATTAAAAATATCACAGTAACATTTTAAATTTAATGAAATAAAAACGTTTTTTTCTGTCATGTCTGATATTTTTAATTCGAATTTTTCTGTCTAGTTGATTTTTCTAATTCAAATTTTTCTGTGTAGTTGATATTTTTATTTCGAATTTTTCTATCTAGTCAATCATTTTAATTCGAATTTTTCTGTTCAGTCATTCATTTTAATTCAAATTTTTCTATCTAGTTGAAATTGTTTTATTCGAATTCTTCTGTCTATTTAATATTTTTAATTCAAATTTTTCTTTCTAGTTGATATTTTTAATTCGAATTTTTCTGTCTAGTCAATCATTTTATTTCGAGTGGAAATAGACATGTGTGAGTCAATTGCGAATGATTCTATTATTTCAAGTATCGAATTTACATATCGTTTTAACGTACGTTTTAACATTGGAAATGTTCGTACATTTCTGACTTTTTGTTCAAAGAAAAAGACAAATCTGTTGCCGGTTATTAATACAGGGTGTTTGTCGAAAGGCATTGAAAAAAGTTTATGAATCAAAATCCTGAAAACCAAATGGAATAGGGGATCCAACAAAATATTAAGTATAATGCGACATTGCCATATTTGTAAAAAATAAATTCTGGTGTAGCCAGATTCTGTAAAAATTTCTCAAACAAAAAAATATAATTAATAAAAACAATTTGTCAGGTGGATCTTTAAATCGGTCAGTTTAATTTTTTTTCGCAAAACGTAACCCAACAAAATATCCAGGAACGCTATTCTCAACTGGAAGGCTATTGACAAAGGCTGCGCGTGAAAATTTTACGCCAAATTGAAGAAATCCTTAAGGGTCAGATTCGCACGCGTGTATCTCCTCACGCATGCGCATGCGGGTAAACAACAAAAGTTTTAACGGTTTTGTCATAACCTTATTTATATTTCGTGAAAATGTCGAAGTCATCAAGGAAGATTCATGTATCAAGTGTTTTGTGTGGTATTGCACTTAAAAAATAACATTATACATATATTTTTTGTGCACAAGACGGTTCATTGTTAAATCAACGTTAACACAGTAATGCGCCTGCGTCGCGAGATACGGTCATAGAGTTTATTTTGGATAGGGTGCGCGAGGTCCTATTTGCGAATGACACATCTCTATTTTCACTCAATCGCCATCTAGGTGCAGAGGTGTCCAAACAATTGAATTAAAATGATTGACTGGATGGAAAAATTCGAATTAAAATGATCAACTAGACAGAAAAATTCGAATTAAAAATATCAACTAGACAGAAAAATTTGAATTAAAAATATTAACTAGACAAAAAAATTGGAATTAAAAAAATATCGACTAGACAGAAAAATTCGAATTAAAATGATCAACTAGACAGAAAAATTCGAATTAAAAATATCAACTGGACGGAAAACTTCGAATTAAAAAAATATTAACTAGACATTAAAATTCGAATTAAAAATATCAACTAGACAGAAAAATTCGAATTAAAAATATCAACTGGACAGAAAAAATCGAATTAAAAATATCAAAGTGACAGAACCATTTAACAAACGTTTTCATTAAAATGTTACTGTGATATTTTTAATTGGCGTAGAATTATAAAAATCACATTAAGCTCTAAAATAAAATGAATTAAAATGTTTAAATGACAAAAAAATACAGAGCATATTTTTAATTCAATGCAATTAAAATATCGATATGATATTTTTAATTCATGTCGAATTACAGGTATTAGGTGACGTTTAAAATGAATTAAATTACAAAAATCAAAGTAAGAAAAAATTAAACAAACGTTTTTATTTATTAAATTTAAAATGTTACCATGATAATTTTAATTCTAACTAAATTAGACGTATTAACCGGTCTTCATAAATCCCTATTTTCAAGACTAGATAACATTTTTAATTTAAGGAATTAAAAATATCAAGTATCAGTAAAAAATATTTTTTATCCGGTATTTCGATGTTATCATGACGTGGAATTACATTTTAAACTAACATTTAAAATAGTAGACTTAACAATACAACGGCGTTCCATAAAAGAGTCTTATCAGAATTTGCTTGCTAAAGGCGAAAATGTTGCAAATGCAAGTAAAATGCACGAGTGTAGTATCGCCCAGCTGATTCAAGAACACTTTTAGGAACTACACGTGTTTCACCCAGTATATATTAATTTCTGCCAGGGGAGTATTTGCATATAGGCGTTTAATAAGTCTTTCTTTATATGAAGTTGACAACATTCCGGAAACGCTTTAAGTTGATATCCCAAGTAGAACACTTTTATTGGCCCAATATTCTATAAATATTCGTATCAGATTGGTAAAATATTGTTTTGCTAATATATACCCAATAAGTAAATGTGAACATTTGTCTATATTGGTGCAATAATAATTTCTAATATTGCTTTAATAATGTGTTAAACATATTGAACCAAAATAGTCCAGTTTACTTGGTTAAATATTTGTGTGTAATATTAAAGAAATAAGCAAAGAACTATATTACATCAATATATTTTACGTATTTTGTGTCAATATTATTCATTATTTATAGCATTAATATTACATTACTAATATTGGAGATATGTTGAAAACGGTATAACAAAGTAATATTTATTCGTTACATATTTTTCATATATATATATATATATATATATATATTATTATATACTATATAATATATTGGTGCAATATTAATTTCTAATATTGCTTTAATGATGTGTTAAACATATTGAACCAAAATAGTCCAGTTTACTTGGTTAAATATTTGTGTGTAATATTGAAGAAATACGCAAAGAACTATATTACAACAATATATTTTACGTATTTTGTGTCAATATTATTAATTATTTATAGAATTAATATTACATGACTGATATTGGAGATATGTTGAAAAAAGTATAACAAAGTAATATTTATTCGTTACATATTTTTTAAAAATATATTATTATTATATATATTATTATTATATATTATATAATAATAATATATATTATTATTATATATAGGCTCCTATAATGTTGTTTACTTACTTAAATGCTGTATAGGGAAATCAAAAACGATAAACTAATAAAAAATAAAATATTTATTGCATATTTGTTTTATAACAAAATAAAATAATATGTACTTCTGTATATAAACATAACAAAATAAAGAATTCTTTTAAATAAACAAAAAATAAAAATAATTTTTAAAACATTTCATACATATAATATAACTATTATATACATTCTGTTTCTGTTGGTGCAACGTTTCTAAAAATAAATCATAGTGTTAAAATAATACATTTCCCTTAATACTAAAACTAGATAACTTAAAAATCACATAATTGAATAAGAGAGATAATGCAAGCTATTATTCACGAGGATGAGGTTTGCGTCGCAAGCCGCCAGGCGAGAAACCTAATTAGCTAAATCATGCGAGTGAATAATGCGCATTATCTCGAGGTTAATACTATGCTTTTTCTACTCTATATAAACAATTTTTAAAACTAAATTAATTCTAACTAACATTTTTCTCGTTGTCAAGCGGTTATAATAAATACCATTATACATGTAAAAAAACTAAATAATGTTAATATTATGCAATAGGAGTAAAAAACACATTTTAAAATTTGTGTGTATGAATTGGTAAAATTTTGTAGTGGCGGCTGGTGGATTTTAAATTGAAGTTTGCGAAAAAAGTTAGTTTTTAAGTGTG